GGAAGGGGAAGAGGAAGAGGAAGAGGAAGAGGAAGAAGAAGAAGAAGAAGAAGAAGAAGAAGAAGAAGAAGAAGAAGAAGAAGAAGAAGAAGAAAGAGAGGGGGAGGGGCAGAGACAGAGAGAGATAGACAGACACACACAGAAAGAGAGGCAGACAGACACACAGAGAGACAGAGAGAGAAAGACATACACACATACAAACACACACATACACACACAGAGAGAGAGAGAGAGAAAGAGAGAGAGAGAGAGAGAGAGAGAGGGGAAGTGGGGTAGATATCTCTTATGTATCAAGCCAGTTATGGTGGTGCATACCACACGATGTGGACGTGGACTGAGCCTGCTTCCCCATGTCTTCCCCACCACTGTGAACTGAACTCTCTTAAACTATGAGTGAGGATATATTTTTGCTCTGGTAATTGGTTCCTTTCAGGTTTTATCACAGTGGCAAGATGTATATGATAAGCAAGAAAACCTTTCTTCAAACCTGGATATGTCAAACTCCCAAAGTCACAATCCACATTTTAATCTTTGTGTCCACTAGAAGTCACTCCCTCGTTTCTATACATGAAGTCCTTCTCAGAGACTCTTCTTAAATCCAACCAGAGGACAGTTAGCTACTCCCATAGCCGTCATGCCACGGTTATATGAGTGGGCCCCTCTTGCTTGGTAGGTTGGTCTTGAAGGTAAATTTGATGGAATTGGATAAAATTGTATTGAATAAAGTAACCCAGGTGAGAAAGACAGATGCTGTCTCTTCCCCCTCCTGGTTGGATGCAGCTTCTAATCTGGCACTGCAGTGCTTGTAGAAGCCAGGAAAGAGAAAGGAGATACCAGGAGAGGGATACTGTCAAGGCAGGGGATGATAGAACTTAGGAAATGGAGAACTTAGGGAATGGGGGTGGGAAGGTACATGCAGGGAGGGGAAGGAAGGTGGGAGCCCAGTGGGGGACTGTGGGAACAGGGAGGGGAGGGAAGGTAGGGACACAGGGAGACTGGGGGAGGAGGGTTAACCAAAAGCAAAGGGGCATGAAAAAGTCATATAGAACCGTACTATCTAGGCTGGTGAGATAGTTCAGTGGTTAAGAGCACTGACTGCTCTTCTGGAGGTCCTGAGTTCAAATCCCAGCAACCACATGGTGGCTGACAACCATCTGTAATGAGATGTCTGAAGACAGCTACTGTGTACTTACATATAATAAATAAATAAAAACGTTTTTTTTAAAGAAACATACAATCTTATAACAATTTAATTTATGAAAAAAGACGTTGAAAGAAGATACTGTACTTTATGTGCCTTATACATACGGTGCCTGTGGAGGCCTGAAAAAGAGCATCAGATCCCCTAAGACCAGAGTTGGAGACAGTTGTGACTGTAGATTGGGTTGCACTGTACAGCCAAATCTAGCCCGGGGCTCATAATCTTCCTGCCTCAGTCCCCCGAATGCTGGCAGTGCAGGCATGTACCACCATGCTCCAGCAGTTCTGGGACAGTCACCTCTTACCCTGGGAGAGCAGTAGATTTGGGTCAGCTGGGAATGGGGCAGGCTCAGGAGCCCAAGTCGCTAACAGGATCTTTGCTTTGCAGCTATGGAGTACTGCTGTGGGAGCTGCTCACGGGTGAGGTCCCGTACCGTGGCATCGATGGACTGGCTGTGGCATACGGGGTGGCTGTCAACAAACTCACGCTGCCCATTCCATCCACCTGCCCTGAGCCGTTTGCAAAACTCATGAAAGGTAATGTTCAGCCCTGACCTAAGAGAGTCTGGCCAAGGAAAGTCATATACAGGAACAGATACAATTTTTTCCCCAATTTTATAAAAGCAATATGTGTGCTGGCGAGATGACTCCACAAATAAAGACATTTTCCACCACGTGGAAGAAGAGTCAGATTCCTACAGGTGCTCCTCTGACTTCTAACTATATGCCATGTCACACCCGAACCCACACACATAAACAAACAAACAAACAAACAAACAAATACGTATAAAGTTTAAGAAGCAAAGGAAATGTTAAGCTGCATGCAGTAGTTCATGTCAGTAATTCCAGTATTCAAGAATCTGAGGCAGGAGGATTGCTTTGAGTTCCCAGGCCAGCCTGGGCTAATATGAGACCCTTTTATTTCTTAGAATTCAGTATTCAAGAATCTGAGGCAGGAGGATTGCTTTGAGTTCTCAGGCCAGCCTGGGCTAATATGAGACTCTGTTATTTCTTAGAACTTCAGTTTTGATCACAATGTTTCCAGACTTTGGTTTCGGGGGGGTCTTGTGTTTTACAGCCCTGTAATTCTGCCATAGCAGCTCGGCCTCAGCACCAAAAACAGAAACAGAAACAAAACCAAGCATGCCTGTGCGGCCTGTCTCTGTGTCTCTGCTCACCCCTGACACAGGTGCTCCTGACTCAGTCACTCAGGGGCTCACAGGCATGCACTTAGAATTTCCAGGAGCCAACACTGCAGACAGGGATTCCTGGTTTGGAGTGACAGGCGTCAGTCTGAGAACTCTGCCGTCTGGGAGATGATGGCAACGGTACCGAGAGAGGAAAGTAATGTGATTCTCGTTTGTCACAGAGTGCTGGGAACAAGACCCTCATATCCGCCCCTCGTTTGCCTTAATTCTTCAACAGCTGACTGCGATTGAGGAGGCGGTGCTGACCGACATGCCCCAGGAGTCCTTCCACTCCATGCAGGAAGACTGGAAACTGGAGATTCAGCAAATGTTCAGTGAGCTGCGAACCAAGGAGAAGGTGAGAGGGTAGTCTCACCACACAGTGCATACGTGATCACAGCACAGTACATACATGTTCATTTCACAGTACACACATGATCACTGTACAATGTACACATGCTCACCGCACAGTACACATGTGATCACCACACAGTACACACATGTTGACATCACAGTATATACCTGATCACTGCATAGCACACGCATGATCACCACACAGTACACACATGTTGACATCACAGTACATACCTGATCACTGCATAGCACACGCATATCACCACACAGTGCACACATGCTCAATGCACGGTACACATGTGATCACCACACAGTACATATATGTCCACATCACAGTACACAGATGATTACCACACAGTACACACATGATCACTGCACAATACACATGTGATCATCACACAGTACACACATGCTCACATCACAGTACACAGATGATTACCACACAGTACACACATGATCACTGCACAATACACATGTGATCATCACACAGTACACACATGCTCACATCACAGTACACACATGAGATCACCACACAGTACACACATGATCACCGTACAGCATACACATGATCACTGCTCAGTACACAAATGATTACCACACAGCACACACATGTTCACCGAACAGTACACACATGATCAGCGCATAGTACACATACTAGCCACAGGGACACAGAAGGGACCTCTGCTAGTATTCTGCTGTGTTTTGGTGTTTATTAGTGCTTGCTTTCCTTTAGGTTAAAAATAAAGAATACTAAAAACATACAATTGGAAAGAAACCCTTTTATTGGGAAATTTCCAAGAGGAAAATAGATAAGAAATAGCATAAAACTCCCACACATCAATGAGCCTTGCCGAATGCCCAGTTTTGAACACTTTACACACGTCTCTCCATTATTTTCTAGAACTTGAGTTCTTAAAATCAAACTCCCACCTCATATTACTTTTATGTATCTTCTTTGAAAAATTTGGTGTGTATAGTGTGTGTGTGATGTGTGTGTATGGTGTGTGTAGTATATATGTGTATATGGTATGGTGTGTTCATGTGTGTGTATGTGTGTGGTGTGTGTGTGGTGTGTGTGTATGTAGTGTGTGTGTGGTGTGGTGTGTGTGTATGTAGTGTGTGTGTGGTGTGGTGTGTGTGTGGTGTGTATATGATGTGGTGTGTGTGTGTGTGTTTGTGTGTGTGTGAGTGTGTGGTATGTGTATGGTATGTGTGTAGGCTTGCAAGTGTCGTGGCACACATGCAGAAGTCAGAGTATAACTTTAGAGACTCCTTATCTCTTTCTGCCTTGTTAAGGAAGGTACTCCAGGGTGGCTGGCCTGTGGGATTCCAGGTGATTCTCCTGTCTCCACCTCCCATCTTGCTGTGGGAGCGCTGGGATTAGAGTTAGGAGCACCTCTGTCTAGCTTTTTGTGGGTTCTACTGTCTGAAGTGTTTTGAAGTGGGATTCTTGCAAGCACCAAGGACTGGTTCCCTCAGACTGAAAGTCCAGGGACGTTTTGCCTGCTCTGTGTTTAGTGTCCCTCTCTGGTGCTTGGGCAGAATGACCAAGATTGCCTGTTGATACTCAGCTGAGTACCTGGAACTCTGAGTCAGACAGGCTGGTTGTCTCTGGTCTCAGCTAGTGGCCTTGGTCACTGGGTGTCACAGAAGGGAGTGTGAACTGTGAGGAGTGTGAATTGTGAGGATGCTCCCCAGCTCAAGCTCCTGCTTAGTAAGTGTTCTTGTGTGCCTCAGGAGAAAACAGGCTTTGTGTGGTCTCTCACTGTGCCTGGCCTGGCCTCTGGGAACCAGCTGGAAGAGGAAGGTGTGGACGTCACTTCCTGAGGGATGCCTTCTGTCAAAAAGTCTTCTGTAGAGTTCTGGAAACACACATTTGGTTGACTTAAAACGATAGGACAAATTTTGGTCCACTTGTCCAATTCTTTTTTTGAGAGTTCTGAAATGAGGTGTTTAAACCCACAAACAAACTTGACTTTAGGGGATGGCGGGTGATTTTGAGGGAAAATGGCCTCAAGTCACAGGATTAAAGTTGGAGAGTGACATTATTTAGAATAATGATACTTATAATTCTTTTGTTTAATTAATGATGACTAGTCTTGAAGCTACAGGATGTAAGCGCAGGGACAGATGGTTCTCATGTTTAAGAGTAAAATAATAAAACAGTGCTCCTGGGACGGACAGCAGCCTCTGCTTGGTTTTGGGTTCATAAAAGCTCTCACATTGTTATGCCTCTCTCTTCCTGTCTTTGCTGCAAGGTCTTGCTTAGTGTCCTAGGCTACCTGACGCTTACTTTGTGGTTAGGCTGGTGGTGAACTCACAGTAATCCTCCTGCCTTAGCCTCAGAGGTGCTAGGATTGCAGGCATATCGCCCTCACACAGCCATTTTCTTATTATTCTTTTGGCTTTCCCCCCTGGTGTGTCGTGTGTTTTATTTGGCTGTTGCTCATTGCCCCTCCAAGCAGCCCTTCTGGCCTTGGGGTCTGTGATTAGAGTGTGTAAGACAATGTTTCTCTTTGTGCTGAAAGGTTCCAATCTCATTTTTCTGAGGAGGGAAAGCCTTTTCTTCATGCTCTCTCTCTCTCTCCCACTCACTGGCTGAGGGAGGAGGCCCCCTCACTCCACCTCAGTCAGCACTCGGCTCACATCCACTTTATGCTGTAGACGGTGAACCCTCCCTGAGCTCAGCTTCTTATCACCGTCTGGCTCTGGGTCCCTGTGTGCACCCAGCACAGGCCCTTGGGGAGGGCTTGTCCTTGTTAACCATTAACTTCTCCTGCAGGGAAATGGTTTGGCCATTATCAGAAAGCCCCAGCCAAGCCTTTGGGCAAATGCTGCTGCTAATAACCACACAAGACAAAAGGAAGGCGTCATGATTTCAGATGTGTTCACATGATTTCACATGATTTCACATGTGTTCATCCATGTTCTAATACTCCAGAGGTCTCCCTCCCATTTCTCAACATGCTTCTCAAGCTTATTTTATTATTCACGTGTATGTGAGCACTTGTGTGTGTATGTGTGTATATGTGTGCATATGTTCATATGTGTGCATGTGTGTGTATGTGTGTATATGTATGTATATGTGTGCATGTGTGTGTAGGCCAGAGTTCAACCTCAGATGTCTTCCTCAATCACTTTCTGCTTTGCTTTGAGGCCAAGACTCTCACTAGAACCTTGAACACAGTTCCAACAGGCTGACCTGCAGGCAGCCCCAGGGATCCTCATATCTGTAGTTAAGTGTATGCCCAGGCCTTGGTTTTATACGTTTTTTTTTCCTGTGGAAAACACTCAGGTCTTTGTGCTTGTGTGGCAAGCACTTTTCCAGCTGAGCCACGGCCCCAGCCCAGCTTCCAGATTAAAATTCTGCTTAATAAGGTGTGCAGTCTGATGGCTTCCCCACCAATTGTGTTGTGTTTTCCCTCTTAGGAAGTCTTCCTGTTGTTGCTGCTGATGACGTCGTAGGGGTTGGACACTTGGACACTTGTTGAGAGGGACTTAGAAGTAGAAGTGTTTACTTACTCAGTTTGTATAGAGATCGGTGCAGGAGGGCTTGCTGTCCTCCCGACACCAGCCCCACTGAAAATGGCACTTAGGAGAACGGTGGTGTCTTAGGGTTTTACTGCTGTGAACAGACACCATGACCAAGGCAACTCTTATAAGGACTCCATTTAATTGGGGCTGCCTTACAGGTCAGAGATTCAGTCCATTATCAAGGAGGGAGCATGGCAATGTCCAGGCAAGCATGGTGCAGGAGGAGCTGAGAGTTCTACATCTTCATCTGAAGGACACTAGGCTGCCCTAAACTGGCTTCTAGGCAGTGAGGAGGAGGGTCTAAAACCCTAACCCTGACCCACAATGACACACTTCCTCCACTAAGGCCACACCCACTCCAACAAGGCCACACCACCTAATAGTGCCACTCCCTGGGCCAAGCATATTCAAGTCACCACAGGTGGGTACTTGAAATGAGTTAGAATCCACCCTCTGTCTTCTAGTATTTTGGTTCAGTCTCTGGGAGCCCCTAAGGGTCTAGGTTAGTTGACTCTGTTGGACTTCCTGTGGAATTCTTATCCCCTCCAGGTTCCTCAATCCTTCCCCTAACCACAAGACTCCCCAAGCTCCATCCAATGCTTGGCCGTGAGTCTCTGCATCTGTTTTAGTCAACTGCTGGGTGGAGCCTCTCAAGAGACAGTTATGTTAGGCTCCTGTTTGCAAGCATGATAGAGCATCCTTAGTAGCTCATTATGCTGTGGTGACCCCAACCATAAAATTATTTTGTTGCTACTTTATGACTGTAATTTTGCTACTCTTCTGAATTGTGATGTAAATGTCGAATATTCAGGAGGTCTGGTATCTCAGAGGTTGAGAACTGATGTGTTACACACTCATAAAGGCTAGAGGTAAAGCATTGATAACGTCTGGTGTGAACATGAGCGATACCTTTTTCTGTCAGGAACTAACAGCGGAGATGGGACCCGGCATTGGTTTCCCTTAGGTTAGTAACAGGCTAGGTTACCGGGCAGCTCACACCATCTTGAGTAAAGGGCTCTGGAAGCGGTACAGGAAGCTCATATTAATCTCCTTTTTGGGCCTGACTTTCCAGGAGCTGCGTTCCCGAGAGGAAGAGCTGAGTCGAGCTGCTTTGCAACAGAAATCTCAGGAATTGCTGCTTAGACGCCGGGAGCAGCAGCTCGCAGAGCGTGAGATTGACGTGCTGGAGCGCGAGCTGAACGTGCTCATCTTCCAGCTGAGCCAGGAGGCGCCTCATGTGAAGAAGAGGAAGGGGAGGTTCAAGAGAGGCCGGCTGAGGCTCAAAGACGGCCACCGCATCAGCCTGCCTTCAGGTTTGTGCCTTCAGAACTGGGGAGGCAGAAGTTGGGTGCTGTCGTTGGGTGCTGTCATTGCGTCTGAATATTTGTCTCTCAGTATGGAGTGTCAAGAGATGGGCGTCTAGACCCATCAAAGAGGCAAGCCGCTGGTCATGTCTGTGAAGGAGTTTCGATATTAACTGGGAAGGTACACCCTAGTTATGGGTGACACTATTACGTGAGCTGGAGTCCAAGACTGAATAAAAAGGAGAAGGCAAGCTGGCAATCAGCATTCATAGCCTCTCCTTTGTCATAGTTAATTTTTGTGCGGTGTCCTGGGTGTACTGCAGCAGTTAACATGAATGGGTTCCTAAACTGGGGCCAGGGAAACGACCAACAAAACTCAGTCGGAAGGGCAGCTGTTGCTCGGCTGATGCATTTATTCGAGGCAGAAATAATGTAATTGAATATTTTCTGTAAGGTTCTCAAAAAAATCCAGGACTGTAGTATTTGGCATTTCCTTTTCTGAAAACAAAGAGGACATTTCAGCTACTTATTTCTTTCTTTCTGGCACCTGATACAAGATTTCAGTTAAAGAGGACCCAAGCAACTACAGCTATGAGGATTCAGCATGCAGTAGCGCCCTTTGACCACAAGATGGCGGCATATGTTGTAATTCTGGCTCAGGATTGTGACCACCTGCTGGCATTTGGAGCCTTCACTCTTAGTATGTGCTTGTGTGTGCAGACACAGAACCACGGGCGCATACACTCTCTTACATGTGCAGTACTCAGAACGGGGCAGTTTTGGTAGTGAAGAAATAGCAGCGATGTCTGTCTTGTTTTCCTGAGAGAGATTTTGTTCTTGGCGTTTTCATCGGGCAGAAAGTCCTTTGAGTTCTTTGAAGCCAGTACAGTTGCAATGGGTAGATTCAGAAAGACCCATCGAGGGGTGTAGCTTGCCCTTCTCGGGGTTAACATACCAAATTTCTAGGACTTTTACAGTATCCCTGCACTTTGGAAGTATACTTTGTATCATTGTTATTTTCTTCAGCATTTGTAGGAGAAAACCTGGTGAGAGGGGAAACTTTGATGTGGTGATGGGCTGAAGTTCTTCTGCCCTGTGGCTCTTTTGAAGTTTTATCCCGAACATAATAAAGACAAAATAAAGAAGTCCCAGGCTTTACCAGTTGGTATGGCTCTGAAGCGGCACATTTTAAGTTGCACCTAAATCAGAGGGAACCAAAACCTAGTGAAGACCAGCATGTGTAAGAGTGACAGAGAGGCCCCACAGGAGAGCAGAAATGAAAATTTAAACTCTCAAAGACCCCCTCCAGTGACACATTTCTTCAGGAAGGTCATAACTCCCAAACCTATCCAAATAGCCCCACCAACTGAGGGCTGGGTATTCAAATGACCAGAGCTTTAGGGAACATTTATCATTCAAACTACCACACAGAACACATCCTGTAAGGTCATTTTGTATCTTTAGACACTGATACCCTAGGTTCTAGACCAAGCCAACTTGGCTTGGATAATTCTACCTCCTTCTAGCCCAGTTCCCCAGACCTACAGCACCAATGGAAATGAAACTATAGACAGGAAGTGTCTGTTGCCGAACTAAATTACCCTGACAAAGGTGAGGGCAAGTCTGACTTCAGCAGGTGGCCAGCCATTGTTGCAGGAGCTCAAGGCAGAAGCTAGCCACATCCACAGTCCAGAGCAGAGAGAAGTGAGCATACACCTCCTTGTGCCTAACAGAATAATGTGTTGACCTGAATCTCTGAGAAGGGACACAGGGCCGTGCTAAGAAACACACTCAGGAATGAGTCCACACGCCTGAAAGAGCTGCTGTCTGATTATGGCTCTGTTGGTTATGAAAAGACAATGAGGAAAATAATGAAAATCCCTGAAAAGCTGGTTCTTTCTTTTTCAGATTTCCAGCACAAGATCACAGTGCAGGCTTCCCCCACCCTGGACAAGCGCCGGAGCTCAGACAGCCGACTGTGCAGCCCACCCGGCAGCCCCTTGATGCTCCCCCGCCTCCGGGCCATTCAATGTGAGCTTTCGGCCTTTCTCTTCATCATTGTTAAGACTGCTATGTAGTCACATGTAGGGCGTGTTTTTACAGTGGTCTGTGTGAGTGGAGTTGGTGAACAAACAGTGGTGAAGACATGGAGAGAACAGCTGACCTTGGGGCCGACTGTGGTGTCATACTCCAGTAATCCCAGTACTCGGGGATTACCCAAGGAGGAAAATCAAAGGCAGCTTCAGCTGTATAATGAATTCAAGACCAGCCTGACTCTTTCAGGCATGTGGACTAATTCCTGAGCGTGTTTCTTAGCACGGCCCTGTGTCCCTTCTCAGAGACTCAGGTCAATAGCTAATGGCACATTATTCTGTTAGGCACAAGGAAATGTGTGTTCATTTCCCTCTGCTCTGGACTGTGGATGTGGCTAGCTGCTTCATGTTTCTGCCTTGAGCACAATAGACCCAGTCTGAAAGAAAGGAAAAAAAGAAATATAATAAAAAACACAAAGAAGTTGGTCTTCGGTCTTAGGCCATTTGCTCTTGACCATAAATGCGACATCGTGTCAGCAAAAAGGAGACCTGGAGTCAGGAGTCCAAGTCATTCAAAGAAACTGCCACAGCAGACAGTATCTGTCTCTTCTGCTGAGGTGACTGGGGATACAGATCAGAGGTAGAACACTTGCTTAGCTAAGCATAGGATGCCCCAGATCTAACCCCAGAGAAGCAACACATTAAGGAACCTGACATGCCTCCAGCACTCTACAACCAATGGAAAGAAGATATGTTTCCCTGTTTACAGAAGTCCTAGTTCTAAAAGGCAAATGTCTGGAAAAAGTCTGATGTCCATCTCTCCGGAATTCCCCTCCATGTACGCATAGATAACCACACAGTCTTAAAAACGTTATACATTTATTTTAGACTAGGCTGGCCTTGAACTCACAGAGATACACCTGCCTCTGCCTCCTGAGTGCTAGGATTAAAGGCATGTGCCACCGTGCCCAATGCTAGTCATACCATTTTATAGGAATATATGGTTTGCAACTTTTAAAACATCTCTGTGGACAGTGTATGCCCATACAGTGTTTGTCCATCATGGGTTCAAGTATCTCTGCGTGCGTGTACCACAGAGAGGGCGGAAGCTGGAGGTTGGGCTCAGGTGTGGGTCCTCAGCTCTTGATCTCTTTGAGACGGGTTCATAGACCTGTTGGCTGGTGATTTGGGGATTCTGCTGTCTTTATACTTGTGGTACATATTTTTTTCTAGCTAACCCCCACCCCCTGAATACAAGATTCAGTTTTCCAGGGTGGGCGAGTGAGTTGTTCTGACTGTTCTGTCAGGAGCCTGTCAGGTTATTTTGCCTCCTGACTTCATGACACTAAGGAAATGGGCTCCCCAAGATTGGGGAGATAGAGTTCATAGCTCCATCTCTTACCAGAAAAAAAATCTAGTATCCCACTTAACCATATAGACCAGGTGAGTTTAGCATAGGCGTTGGACAGATTAATCCATCTAGAGTCTGCATGGATTCTGGGACTTCTTAGTAAAATTAGAAGTAACAGTGGTTTTCCTGTGTAGTAACTTCGGATGAGAGCAATAAAACCCGGGGAAGGAACGTGGTCTTCCGACAAGAAGACTTTGAAGATGTGAAAAGGAATTTCAAGAAAAAAGGTTGTACTTGGGGACCAAGCTCCATTCAAATGAAGGAAAGACCAGAAGGCCGAGAGCGGTAAGGGTGTGAAGAAGGGGCTTGTGGCACGTGGCACACACTGGGTAGTAGTGCTATCTATCGTGCATGTGACCGTGCTGCTTGACCTGCCTCTTGGGAAGCAATTAGATTAATGCAGAGACAACTGGATACTAACTTAATGTTCTGCAGCACGTCGCGCTGACTTCCTGAAATAATTATTAGCTCAGTACGTAACTTGACATCTTTATGAATCACTTCATAATTTGTGTATGGGGGTGGCAGCGGTGGGGAGATTGCTCAGTCCTGCAGAGGATCTGAGTTTGATTCCCAGCACCAGCATGATGGCTCACAGCCACCCCTAACTCCAGTTACAAGGGGATCCATCACCCTCTTCCAACTGCTGTGGGTGCCAGACATGCATGTGGTTTGTATGCATATGTTTGGACAAAACAATTATAAACAAATAAACCTAAGAAAATTTAAAAAGATTTTGTTAGGTCTTCAAGATTCAGAAGCACAATTGAATCTTTAGAAATACTCCTGCTGGCCTGAGATGTTCAGCAGGTGAAGTGCCTGCCTGGCAAGCAGGAGATCCAGAGTTCAATCCCCAGCCCTCAGGTAAAAGCTGGGCAGGCCTGGCAGCTGTCTGTAATCTTAGACCATCAAGATCTTAGACCCTGTGTGCCCAGACTTCATGGCACTAAAGCAGAGGGTCTAAGGAAGACCTTCCAAGGAAGACTTAGAAGAGACAAGGGACCTCTAGGGCAAACTGGCTGGCAGTGTATACTGCCAGCCGGTACACACACACACAAATGCACCACCAGCCAGTGACCACTTACACACTCACAGATCACACATATATACCGAAACCTTTATCACTAACATGGATCTGCTGCATCTGAGTGTTCTGAAGTTCCAAGGCGTGAACACAAATGTCTTTCTCTCACAGGGTCAGACCTCTCTCAGATGGCAACAGCCCTTGGTCATCTCTTTTAATAAAAAGCCAGAAAACCACACCCTTGGCTTCACTGTTTGTGGACCAGCCAGGTAACTATGTCTCAGGAGGCGGATGTGCTGGGGTGCTCTTAACTTTCGGGGTCTCTGAATTATCTCATGTGGCCCTTCAGGTTGCTGAAAGGACTGCAGCAGGTCCTTTAGAGCTTTAGTTAAACCCGGAGGTTATTTTGCATCCTGACTTCATGACACTAAGGAAATGGGCTCCCCGAGATTGGGGGAGATAGTGTTCATAGCTCCAGATTTTACCAGAAAAAAAAAAAAAACTAGTATCCCACTTAACCATACAGACCAGATGAGTTTAGCATAGACGTTGGCCAGATTAAGGATGGGCTGGGGCTGTATTCTCTGGAGAATGAGTTCAAGTAGTAAAATTATTGAAAACCTTCAAAGATGGCTGTTAGCAAAAATAACTGGTCGTTTATACCTAGGTGTTTTCGATGGCCTTGTTATACTGTGATGAAACTGGAGGTGTGGGTGTTGAGTGTATTCTGGGTGTGTGCTCACCCACATGTCTCCTCCTCTTGAGGGAATCCCTTCAGTAAGCAAGGGATTTGAATAACAGCGCCAGAGCAGGGTCAGCAGTGGAGGGAAAGGGGCTTTGTGAGCAGAGGTGCTCATGGGAAATGTAGTGTTCAGAGAAAGCAGTGTTCTGCCGACTATCTTGTAGAGAGCAGCTCTCCTGATGAGAGTGGCCATCTAGAAGACAGTGAATGGGTTTCTGTGCCAGAGAACGTCACTCTGGAAAACCAGGCAGGTCTGCTGTGTCTTACCATGGAGCCTAGCACAAGGAGGTTGTTGCTGTTGCCCCATGAGAGAACTTCACCCTTCTCCTTAGCTTAGTGATCCCCACAGGGCTCTGGCCTCTTTGGAGAATCATCTCCCCTCACTTCCATTGTACTAGCTCCAGCTTAGGGACAGGTCTGTCACATAGCAGTTTTCTGGCTCCTTCTCAGGAATTTTTGTTTTGTGCCAGGTTGGGCAAGAACTTGGGTGTGTGTGTTTTAATTGCCACTGGCTTGGGTGTTACACTTGAGAACCTGTGGTGTGTTGTATAGCAGTCCTGTGTGCAAAGTGAGAGTTGAATGGGGCTGTGCACTTTGGCGAAGCAATGTGGTGTGTACGTTTTGTGGAATGTTGTGTATGTTGGTATGTGTGTGCACATATGTGCACACACATGTGTGTGGTGGTGTGTGTGCACATGTGTACACGTTCATGTGTATGTTGGTGTGTATACACATGTGTACACATGCATGTGTGTGTTGGTGTGTATGCACATGTGTGCACATGCATGTGTGTGTTTGTGCATGTGTATACATGAGTGTGTGTCTGTGTGTGTGTGCATGCATGTATGTGCACAAGTGTGTGTGTTAGTGTATGTGTGTGTGTTTATATCTTGTTGCTCCTGTCTCTACACTGATTTCTGACATCACTGTTGATGAGGAACACTTCCTTGAAGGGCAGGAAGCATCGATAACTTTCATACAACCCTTGGGTGCCTGCATCCCGGGGCTCTGGGCTCTTCTCACCTGAGTTCTCCCACTGAAAGACCTCTGCATGTTCTGTGTAGTGTGGTGGCTTGTGGGATCTAGGGTGCTGGTGCACAGTTTCAGTGGTGGTGTTTGCCATGCAATCAGCCTGCAGTGTTTACATTTGTCCTTTTGTTTAGGATCTTGTGAAGAGCAGAAACTTGTCCCTGACGGACTGGAGCATAGAAAACCAAAGCAAGCGAAGTTCCCTGGTCAGGCCTATGTTGGTCTACCTCTTTGCAAAGACAGCCACAGAGAAGACTCATTAGAGGCTGAGAGTTGGGAGGAGGGACCCTCAAAAGGCTCCCCAGTGAACAATGTGGGTGCCCCCACGCTGAAGAAGAAAACAGAGTCAGCTTTGTGTGAGTGTGGGGTGCTGCTGGCGTCGATGGCTTTGGGACTGGATGTCAGGAAACTACATGGAGCCCAGCCCCCCACAAAACCATCACCCAAGGAAGAAAAGAAGGGAGAGGGCACCCTCCAACCTGTCTCCAGGTGCCAAGCAAATACCAGTTCACTTCTGAGGCAGTCATCTGCAGTCAGGGCACCCAGCGATGGCTCCACTCTCCTACCACCAAGTGCCACAAGCCTTTTCTCAAAGTCTTTTCTCTCCACAAAGTGTTTGCTGCAGGCTGATGAGGAGGAGCCACCTTTGGGGACCACTCGGATCTCTTGTAGTCCCACGATGCTCACTCCAGATCCTGGTTCTGTCGCACCAGAGAGCGGCTGTGAACTCATCCCTGGACTGAGACATAAGACTGACTATGGTGCGTTGAGAAGCATGTCACCTGCCATCCTGGAGCAGACAGGAGAGAGACTGCCAGGTTGTGCCACTGTAGGAGACGAAGAATGCCACCATGTGGAGATGGGATCTGAAGAAACTCCTCTCTGGCCCCAAAGTAGGTGGCAGCAGTTGGGTCAGTGGAAAGGACATTGCAGGGGGTGGATGGGTATGGACTGGAAAGCGGTTTTCCCTTTTTCTAGTGATTTCAATTAGTAACTTGATATTGTTCAAGTTGCACTTGAGTGTTATCTCTCTGTGCTATAATTTTAGTATCACTAGAGTGTCATTTCTGAAAAGGGGCTTGATCAGGATCTAATATCTTCAGATTGAACGATCCTATAGGTGCAAACCATGTGATAAATGACACATGGGGTCAGAGATGGGTAACAAGCCCAAATCCCAGCAAAAAGACAGTGGACAAGATTACCGCAGACCTGAACCACAGCCGAGAGCACCAACCCTAAAACATTCACCACACACTGAGCTCTAAACCTAAACACTAACCTTAAAGAAACAATAAATCTAAGCACTTAGCCATAACTCTAAACCAGTCATCCCACACTGCACACTAAACCCTAACCTAAACACTAACCTTAAACATAACCAAAACACTAAACCTAACCATAAACCATAATCCAAAACATTAACTCTAAACCTAAACACTAACCATAACCCAAAAACTTATCCTAACTCTACCCTAAACACTAACCCTAACATAAAACAGTAACCCCAAACAATAACCATAACCCTAAACCTAAACCCTAATACTAACCCTAAAACCTAATCTTAAACATAATCACTAAACTAAACAATAACCCTAACTCTAAACACTAATCCTAACTATAAACACTAACCCTAAATCCTAATCCTAAACTTTAATTCTAAACACCAACCCTAACACTGAACAATAACCCTAATGCTAAACCCTAAACCCTAGTCCTTAACCCTAAAACACTAACCCTAACCTAAACACTAACCTTAAGCCTAAACTCTAATCTTGACCCTAAACATTAACCCTAAAAACTAATCCTTAACCCTAAACACTAACCCTAACCTAAGCACTAACCTTAACCCTAAATGCTAACCTCTAACCTAAACATAAACCCCAATCTTAACCCTAAGCCCTGCCTCCAATACCTGACTGCAAACCCTAATACTAACCCTCTAACCCGAATGCTAACCAAAAGCTGTCTTCAGGCTTCCCTGAGACATTCTGGTGTCACATACTGTGGCTGTGTTGGTCTCTGTCATGTCTGACAGGTTGGTGTGTAAAGCTTGCAGCCAGAGTGGCTTAAACACAAGACCGTCTTTCCCCACTGTGCTGAAGGGAGAAGTTGAGGCAAGTGTTTAGACAGGGCTGGGTCTTCCTGAGGCCTCTCTGCTGGTCTTTCTCACATGCTGTCCTTATATCCTGACATGGTGGCTCTTCTGGGTGTTTGTGTCTGAATCCTGTAAGGCCCACAGTCAGACTACACTAGGGCCTGCCCATGTGAACTTATTTTAACTTAACCACCTGTGAGGACACCCTCATTTCTAGGGCTGGGGAGACATCTCAGTAAGTAAAATGCTTGCTATGCACATAACAGGACTCAAATTCAATCCCCAGAACCCACATCAAAAAGCTGGGTATGCTACTCCACACCTGTAATCGAAGTATTGAGGAGACAGGCAGGTGCCTGGGGTTGCTGACCAACTAGTCTAGCCAAGTCAGTGAATCCTAGGCTGCTGAGAGACCCAGTCTCTGAAAACAGGAGGACGTGCCTGGGGGGCAACTCTAAACCACCCACCCCAAACTGATGTTGCATGTGCATGCACATATGTGTGTGCATGTGCACACACTTGCATGTATACACAGATGCATTAATACATGCATACACATATACATATGCATACATACATGTATATACAGGCATACACAGACACACTACATATATACACATGTGCACACAGACACACAGAAACATGCAGTCAAGTATACATACACATGCATGCACACAATACACAGACACACACACCACACAGAATATATACACACAGACACACAGATACATAGACATACACATGTACATACACATGTACACACACAAATGCATACATACATGTACACACACAAACACCCACATATGCACACACATACACACATGTGCACACACACAAACACACGCACAGGTCACGGTGATGTCACAGTAACTGTGTAAAAGCTAGTGCTCAGGTTTGCTGAATGTGACCTTGGGGACATCACTGTAACATGTTTGTCTCCTGCTAACCTATGTCATCTCTCCTATCCTTAGGAGTGGGGTACAGAGCAGTGAACAGGTACTACTGTGTCTCGCTCCTTTTGTATGTGGAAGTAGTTACACTGATGTCATACAAGTATTCTCTGAATCTATGGCTGTGGAAAGCCAATTGATCTGGGCACAGTGGCTCTTGTCTGACATCCTAGTTATGAGGGCAGCTGGGTAAAATGGCTGGGTGAATGGCTGGGTCTCATGGCATAGTTTCACTAGGGAAGACACAATCTGGTGGTGGGGGATGGTTTACATAATTACAGTGTTGAAACTCGAGGTAACATCATTATCCTCTTGAATGATCACTGTCTTTCTCTCCCCTCACTGCTTCAGAAGTCTGTCTTCTCCTTGCACACTGTCTGACTTGCTTTTCTTCACCCACAGGTGCCCCTGGAGACTCTGGACCACCACACTCTCCCTCCCCTGGACTTCAAAGTGACCTGGCCAGCGAGGATTCTCCAGTGCAACCCCAAGGTGTTCTGGGCAAATGCCAGGCCTGCCCTGCCCTGCCACAAAGGCCACGCACTGCTTCATTGAGAACATCCCCACCTACCTGGGCCTGTGACAAGGAGCATGTGGTTCCAGCCTTTGCCTGCTTGCTTGGTGCTCAGGAGAGAAGCAGGTACCAGGCACCTTCCTTGCTGGACGCCAGCTTAGAAGGTCAGAACAAGGACCGCGCCATGCCCTTGTGTAGAGTGAAGAGCGTGATGTGCCAGCCATCCATCTACGCCCTGGAGAAAGACTTTCTGACCTGATGACCTCCGCCTTCCCGCTATCATCATTTGATGCAGGCACACGGAGGCTATGTTTCAAACTTGTGGTCTATGAAACTAGAGGTGTATAACTGACTCTGAGGAGCACTAGTGACCGCTGTTGGCCATCGTTACCACGGCCGACGCATGATAGTTACCCAGTGACTTGAAATACACAGAAGTTTGAATGATTGACAGCGAAGGTGGGGTCGTCCTAGTCGGTTCCTGTGCTTCAGTCTTACGTATGTCCTGCCCACAAGCACGCACGCATGCGTGAAACTGCAATGGCCGATTGATCATCTTTGCTTCCTGCCTTCATCTTTTTTTCTCTTTTTCTTGTCCTTTGGGGGTTTTGTTTGTTTGTTTTTACACAACAAAAAGCCAAGAAATAGCTATTCACATCTCGGCGATAATAATGTGATGTTAAAAGTAAACATATTTATTTATAGAGGGTAAAGGTCCTACTCTCTGGAGTTAATTCAGAGAACTATTTAAACTACCCAGAGAAGGCGGTAGCCTTGTAATGTGCAAGGAAATGTGTTCGATTGACTCCCGAGTTACACAAGGATAGTGCTCTTCCAGGAGGATGTAACCTATAAAAGCATTATTGAGGCCGGAAGAGATGGCTCAGCAGTTAAGCATGCAGATAGCTCATTTGGAGGGTCCAAGTTCAGTTCCCGGCACTCATGTCGGATGGCTCACAACTGCCTCAGCTTCAATTCCAGGGCATCCAATGGCCTCTTCTGGCTTCACATGCACACACCACCACACAGACACACACAGACGACACGTAATTAAAAGTTAAAATATTTTAAAACATTTTATCGAATGTAGCTATATTGTTATTTCAGCATCATGCAACTGATATGCCCTAGTACAACTTAAAGGAAGGAATTACTTACTTTGCTCGTGGTTTTAGAGGAGTCAGTGCAACTGTGGGAAGGGCCTAGTGGGGTGTCTTCACATCATGGTGGACAGAAAGCAGAGGAAGGGGGAAACAGGAAGAAAACAGGGCAAGATACAGCCCCAGGGAACACCCTCACTGAACTTGTTCTCCTGTTTCTATAATCTCACAATATGCAGCACCCCTGTGTGGAAACCAGACAAGAAGAGCCTATGGCAGATGTTTGAGATTCAGACCTTAGCAGTGATTGCCGACCATCATTGAGATCAGACATTAATACTTGGCACCCTGTACAAGGCTGCTCTGTAGGTTTTCTGTGTAGAAATGGTTCATCATTAGTAGCCAGAGGTGGGACATTTCTTCACGCTCCCGTTGTTGGTATAGGTCCAAACTCAGTGGCGTTGCATCGTTGCTGAGGTCACCAGGGAGACACTCCCACAATTCCACCTGGCTACAGGAACTATGTCATCATCTTCATCCATATAAATAGGCAGAGCTTCCCTGATCTTTTCTTCTTTCCTCTCCTCCATCTTCTATCTCCCTCTCTCTCTTACCCTCCATTTTTAATAGACCCCACTCCTGTGGAACCGGTCTTGTTGGTTCTTACACCCATAGTCTTTAAAAATTAAATGATCCATGGCTGGCTATATTTGAAGAGCCCATGTGCTGTGCTGTGGACATGCATGTTGTGTGGTTGTCTCTCTCCTCAAGCCTGCAGTTTTGCCAACACTAAAAGCATTGCCTATGTAGGAGATGGCGGGACCACCAGGGTTTCCAGTCAGCTTCTCACACTCCATTGAACTCCGAGTCAACGGGGGCATCTGTGGGGGTGAGCAAGCATGGTGGGAAGACACAGATGACTTCAGCAAGTGACTTTGGATAGCAGATGTGATTAGAAACAACTTAAAGCTATTCGTGAATTATTTTTTGTAACTTCACAGAGAAGGGGCTGCTTCGTTGGGACTGGGTGACTCTTCAAGTGCTCAGTGCCCTTGTCTGGGTCTCTTGAGTACTGTGATCCCTTTTGTCACCAGAACATAATTATTTTCAAGGCAGAGAGAAAATACTTAAATTCCGACACAGTAGGAAACTAAATTATTACTAGTCTTTCATGTTTTATTTACCGTTGTGTCTTGGCTTACCGATAACAGCAGGAATTTAAAGGTGATTCAGTCAGGTGCGACCTGCAGGGAGGATCTCACTGCCTGCTCTAGGCAGGTTTCAGGTGCTCAGAGCAAAACCTCAGACTTTCACCAGACTTCCTGTGTTGTTTCCACTCTCCGATTCTGCTTCACCTCAGTAGTTATTAAATGGTGTAACAGGGATGTAGTTTGTTCGACATTTGTCGCATTGGATAGACCGCTTGGTCTCTTTTCAAGAAAAGCTAAAAGTAAAAGACATGCCCCAAATACCCGGTGCACAGAAGGAAATGTAGAAATGGTGTGTTCAGCTTTGCTTCTGTCGCAGCTTCCCATGGAGTGAGTGTATGGTGGAGATGGTGAAATTGGACGTGTCTGTCTGTCTGTCTGTCCGTCATGCCCTCTCTCATTCTGTGTTCCAGCCTCCCTTCTCTTTGTTTTGCTCAACTGTGATGAATTTTGAGAAGAAGCCATGCTAAAACATAAGGAGCTAATCTGACTCACGGCTGCTGAAGGTTTTCACTGAGATCCCAGATTTTCTGTGCCTGCTACACACACAGCAGAACCCGGATATTCATTTTCTGTAGACCTTGGCGATCCTAAAGATCATTTAATCTGGTTCCTGTTAATCCATATTCTGCTTTTGCCTCCCACAGCAGAGACTCACACCTGGAGCCCAGACACTATACTCAGAAGCCTGTGGCTGACAAAAATGTTTACATATGTTGTCTAGTTTTGTAATAAAATTTTTTTAACAGTTTGTCTGTTGGCTTAGTGACTTTGATATCCTCCTGAATGGTCACAGTAGTTTGCTTTGTATTCAGTGAGGAGAGCATGCAGGGATGAGGCTTGGTGTGAATGTGGAGACCTGAGTTCCACCTCCAGGACCCTTGCAAAACAGCAAGTCCTCCTGATGTGCCCTTGTGGTCCCACAGAGAGGTGGGGACCAGGGGCTCACTGGACAGCCAGTCTAGCTGAGTCAGCAAGCCCCAGGGCCAAGAGAGGCACACACACAGGGACATGCACACATACCTTTGTGCACACTCAGATTTAAGAAGAAATAAAAAAATTAAATCTAGTTACATGGGGTGCCTCCTGCATGTGTTCTAATCTCTAGATTAGAGCCACCAGCTTGAATCTCTTAATCATTTCCTGGCCGCTCAGTATTGTGTCAGCTTGACACAAGCTAGTGCCATCTGGAAGAGAAAGCTCAATATAAAAGAAAGAGAAAATTCCTCTCTTAGATTGGCCGGTAGGCAAGTTTGTGTGAACATTTTCCTGATTGATATGGGAGGACCTAGGCCATTAAAGGCAGTGCCACCCCTGGGCAGGTGGTCCTAAGTGCTATAAGAAAGGTCCTGGATCAAGTCCTGGAGAGCTAGTAGGTAGGACCCCTCCGTGGTTGCTGCTTCAGTCCCTGCCCTGACTTCCACCCATGATAGACTGTGCCTTGGAAGTGTAATGATCCAAGCAAACCCCTTCCCCTCCCAAGTTGTTTTTGGTTCTGATGTCTTACCACAGCACCAGACAGTCACTAGTTCATTTCCAAACAGGGGCGTGCCCGCTTTTATTTTCACTTGGCTCTAAATTGCTTAGATAAAATTCCAGATTTTACCCTCCTTTCCCCATCCATCCTTTCAGTAAACAAAACAAAACAAAACACAGGCATGAACCAGAGGCCTCCGGTACTGAAAACACCACAGAGACATCTGTATGGCTAAGGATTTGTCCAGAACTATCTGTAGGGTCTGAATGGATGGTTTCCACCTAGCTGATAAAGACACTGAGCCTTAGATCAGTTAGGTAACTTGCACTTGAATCCTGTCTTCTTTTCAGCCTCCGACCCGTACATCCAAACCAGGGTAGAAGAGGAGTCTGCTGGTTACTGGTTAGTTTTCAGTAAGTGTTACTGTTAATAAGCGTGTCCAGGGGCAGCTCAAAGAAAACAGTGTGAACTCAGTGTGGAGCCTGGAGGCCTCTGCATGCCACCCTGAAAACCTGACTGTTGGGCTGCCATCCACTGTGAAGAATTTCAGACTTTAGCTTAGAGTATGCATTTTTGTCCTTGGAGAGGAGGCCAATAGGATATGCATCTGAATAGATACATTTCCTAGAAACTGGCTCACAATGTAGCTGATGCCACCAAGTCTGAGTTCTGCAGGGCATGCTACAGACCTGGGGAGGAATGGAGGTTACACAGTGGTACCTGCTCTAAATGTTCCCGACCCTCAGACTGGAGGGTGTGGCTCAACTAGAGGCAGAGGGAGCTTGGAGAAGCTAGGCATCGTGGCAGCAGAGGGAAGCAGAGTGTGGTGGCTATTCTTGATTGTCACCTTGACTCTATCTGGAATGAACTACAATCCATAATTGGAGGGCTCACCTGTGATCCAGATCTTGAAGCAGGAAGACACAAGTTTCTGACCTGGATTTTGGCATGGAGATCTTGAGGCATAGTGGCCATGACAATCTTAGGCCCAGGCAAGGTAGTACACGCCTTTAATTCCAGGAGACTAAGGCAAGGAGATCTCTGAGTTCAAAGTCAGCCTGGGTCAAAACAAGTCTCAGATCCAGGTGTGCTCGTACATACCTTTAATCTGGGCCACAAATCTGCTGGAGACCTACATTAGGACATTAGAAGAAGGAAGATTCATTCTTCTTCGCCTGCTTGCATTTACTTGCCAGCACATCTGTTGGAACCTACTTCTACAGAAGACCAGCTGAAACAGCTAGCCTCGTGGGTCTGAGCAACTACTAGATTCTGGGACTTCCCATTCACAGCTGACCACTGTTGGGGAGTTGGACTACAGACTGTAAGTCGTCACAATAAATTCCCTTGACAGATACATTCCATAAGTTCTGTGACTCCAGAGAACCCTGACTAATACACAGAGCAAAGCTAAAAACTCATGAAATCCACCCCCGGTGTCCTACATCTTTCAGCTGTGCCCATGTATAGAAGGTGCCACGATCTTCCAAGAGTTCAAACACACAAGCCTGTGGAGGATCAGCTAGGCACTGACTGGTGTTGGGCTTAGCCACTGTGTAGTTTAGACATACTGATTGTTAGTTCAAGTCCCCAAACCATCTGGGCTCTTGATGTGCCGAGGCCTCTGATAAAGGCACCCTCCTGGTGTGGAGCCCGCTCAGCACTATTTATAGCAGGACACAGGTGTGCAGCGTGGGAAAGACTCAAGCTGGGTGGGAGGCACCCAGGTGTACTTCACTGAGACCGAGCTCACCATCCGGGTCTGTCTCCGGAGTTAGCAGCTACACACAGGATACAAGCGGGATTCAAGCCTACCAACTTGGTAATGCTGGTTTCTCCTCACCCAGACTCAAGTTTCCAACCTCGCTTTTGTACTGGGCTTTATGCTTCCTGTCCACAAGGTGGCACTAAATACAAGTGACGGTAATATTGGTTTCTCCTCATCCAGACTCAAAGTCGCAAACGTGGAAACCACTTTTGTATTGGGCTTTATGCTTCCTGTCCACGAGGTGGCGCTAAATGCACACGACTTCACAGATGAGGGCGCACAAGGGCTAAAAGGCTGAAGGACAACAGGGCTTGGGAAGAGGAGCCCTCCGCAGTACTGTGCGCGCGCTCGGAGGGGAGCTCTCACGTGTAGCTCAACTGTGCATCTGCAACGAGCAGGATTTTAAAACTGCAGTCGAGGTCAGTCTCCAGTGTTTGCGCTCAGCTTAGGCAGAAGTGAACCATGCCTCAGATAGAAGAACCCCCTCCTCAGACACCAGCAAAAGGAAAAAGTACTTCCTTCCACATCAGGGTTCTCTAGAGGGGTGGAAACAATGGGATGAGTATTTAGGGGGAACATGAGGGAGAGGAGGATGTGGAGGGGGAGGGAGAAAAAGAGGGAGAGAGGGAAAGATTACATGTATGTGGTATATACACCTGTGTGTGGAGGTTCAAGGACAACCTCTGGGTTTGTTCTTCAGGAGACATCCCTCTTGGTTCTGTGAAACGGGGATTCTCTCTGGGCTGTAACTCACCAAGTAGGGCTAGCTGGGCTGACCAGCAAACCCCAGAGATGCACTTGTCTTTGCCTCTCTGGTGCTGGGATTACAGATGTGCATCACCAGGTCTGAGTTTTTGAAAATGGAAATTTTGGGGAATGAACTCAGGTTCCCTGTCTCTACCTGCAGATGATCAATTACACAAAACCTGTGGTTGAAGTCAGGTCAGGTAACATAAGAGACTGGATCTGTGGGCCCTGTGGTACTAAGGCGAGAAGACGGTGCACCCCCACCTCTTCCACTCATGCTGCTGGAAGACAAATAAAGGAGATACAGTCACACTTGCTAGGAGGGAAGAAACCAGCAACCGTGGAGACAAGAACACAAGCAGAGAGAAAAACACTCTGCCTTGGCCTGAGTCACCTGTCTGAATGTGGTCTCAGGTTTGACTAGGAAGCATAGCACAAAGTGACAGCCATGTTCTATGCATGTTTCCATGGATGTTTCTATCTGCCCAGATCCACTAGACTCTACATTTAAATGGGGGGTTACTGAACGTTCACCACATGCTTCTCAATGCCCGACAGCCAGGGTCACCCCACAAGTAGTTGAGCGAGCTGGCTCATTGCATTGCCACCAAGCAAAATCTCCAGCACCAGAAAGTGGTTACATCTTGTTGAGTCGCTGGCCAAAGGGGTCCCCTAGATACTTCCCTAAACATCACAGGCTGTTACCCAGGATACCGGGTACTCTCTACAACCTGATGATAAGACTCTAGTGCTGAAGAGAGCATTTACTTACATCACTGGATATGGAAAAGTCAAGCCGGTGCCCGACTGGCAGCTTCACCTTCCTTACTAGCATTCATACTGTGACACTGTCTGTAAGACACTAGAGGAGAAAATAATAATCTTTGTCACTTTGCTTACAACCTATACTGGTGCAATAGTGAAACAAATTTTGTGGTGTGAGCAACCAATCGCTTTTTGATTGGGTTTAAGGCCCATACCTGACACTGTTAAAGCGGCCAAAAACTCAAGAGTATTCAGGGTACATGTGTAAGGGAAAACCTGTTACTGTCATTCTGCTAAAGAAACAGCAATAACATGACTGCTAATGGCCTGCTCACATACTCACAGATCAGTGCCTCTCTCCACCCTCATCAGAGAAGCCTCTTCTTGTTGTAGGTGGGGATTAACACAGGGACCCACAAGTGTGTAGAGTGAGAGACTTTGGGGCACTCCATCCTAAATGGGATATCTTCATCTATCCCTTCTCCCTACACTTCAGGGATTTATGTGGAAGGAAGGTAAGATTGGAAGTGGCTCCAAGGAAACAGAGACACAGCACGGTTGATACACCTAAGAACTCACAGAGACTGTAGCAGCATGTCTAAGACCTGTACAGATTCAAGTCAGATGGTGTCCAGCACTGAGAGGTAAGTAGACACAGGGTCCAACTTCAGCCAAGATCTTATGTGTAATTGATACCTGCTGGCACATCACCCACGCCTTTGATTTCACGTACAGACTGCATCTCTTCGTTGTGATTTCTGACATCAGCAGCCAAAATTATCATAGATTCCAATGTATCCTGTCCCCTCCCACTCAGAGGCCAGGACTTCTCCATGGTGATACCCCCTGAACACCCCTTTTCATTTTTTCAACATGAAAAGCACGGTAAGGGAACTCTATGGATGGTTTCATCTAATCACATGATTTACCTGGGAAAGTCCCGGTGGGAGAGAGAGCCGTTACAATTAACATTCAAAAGCTGCTTTGCATGGGC